AGGAGGAGGAGGAGGAGAAGGTGAAGATGAAGAAGGAGGAGGAGGAGGAGGAGGTCGGCAGCGGGAACCTCGTCACCACGGCGACGCCTGCGCCCGCGCCCGATCTGCCCGTCGCCATGACGACGGAGGCTGAGGACGTGGAGTCGATGCCGTGGGGGGCGAGACATCTGCACGCCATCGAAGAGATATCTGCAGAGGATGAGACAGTTGAGACAGCTGGGAAGAACTTGGGAGCTGAGACAGTTGAGACAGCTGGGAAGAACTTGGGAGCTGAGACAGTTGAGGCAGCCGGGAAGAACTTGGGAGCTGAGACAGTTGAGACAGCCGGGAAGAACTGGGGAGATGAGGATGAGACAGTTGAGACAGCTGGGAAGAACTTGGGAGCTGAGACAGTTGAGCCAGATGGGAAGAACTTGGGAGCTGAGACAGTTGAGACAGCCGGGAAGAACTTGGGAGCTGAGACAGTTGAGACAGCTGGGAAGAACTTGGGAGATGAGACAGTTGAGACAGCCTGGAAGAACTGGGGAGATGAGGATGAGACAGTTGAGACAGCTGGGAAGAACTTGGGAGCTGAGACAGTTGAGACATCTGGGAAGAACCTGGGAGATGAGACAGTTGAGACAGCCGGGAAGAACTTGGGAGCTGAGACAGTTGAGACAGCCGGGAAGAACTTGGGAGATGAGATAGTTGCGGAGTCAGCTGAAGTAGCTGCAGATAATGGCACAGTTGAGACAGTACCAGATGGTGACAAAGCTGAGACAGCACCAGACGGTGACAAAGCTGAGACAGCACCAGACGGTGACAAAGCTGAGACAGCAGCAGACGGTGGCAAAGCTGAGACAGCAGCAGTTGTTATGGAGATGGCTGCGATATATGACGAGACAACTGAGACAACCACAAAATATGCAAACGGAGACACGGCTGAAGGGAACGTTGAGACTGAGACGGCTGTGGAAGGTGTAGAGACAGATGAGAGAGAGGTTGAGGCAGCTGCAGACGATGAGACAGTCACAGCAGATTCTGAGGCAGCTACAGAGGAGGCTGAGACAACCAATGAGGATGGCAAAGTTGAGACAGCAGCAGATACTGAGACAGCTGAGGCAGCCGCAGAGAATGCAGATGGTGAGACGTTTGCAGAGGCCGAGACAACAAATGAAGAGGGCAGAGGTGAGACAGCAGCAGATCCTGAGACAGCTGAGGCAGCCGCAGGGAATGCAGATGGTGAGACGTGTGCATAGGCCAAGACAACAAATGAAGAGGGCAGAGGTGAGACA